CGTGGAAATTGTTGTTTTGTGTGGAGCAAATTTACTGTTTGTAGTGTTGAGTGGTCCAAACTGTTTCTTTCTCTTTGGAATAAGGGAAAATTTAAGAAAAAAAAAAAAAACGAAAGAAGTATTACATTTCTCCCTAAAAAGGCTTAAATCTCAATAAAAACTAAAATTTTTACGTTACAGTACTAACTCCCCTGAACTATTAGTGGGGGTGGGATAGACTGCTTGGAAAATTTCTCTTATGGTGAAGGTGCAAGCTCGTGGAAAAGGTATTGGAAAATGTGAGTCCCACAATGCCAGGTTGTAAGAAAAAAATGAGAAAAACTTGCAAACCTCTGACCGTCTTGCTTTTAACGGTAAAAAACACTCCGTTAGCCATGAGATGTACGGAGGGACAAAATTGAGCACTTATTGAATGGTAAAGGGAGGACATGAGGCGATTTCATAGTAAAAAGATTAAATTGAACTTTTTAAAATAGTAGAGGGATGACAGTTGGTTTTAATCTAGATTAGTTCGTTTGTTTGTTTATTTATTTATTTGTTTGTTTATTTTGTAGTAGATCAAACACAACTATGAAATTAATCTAGTTAAAAATCAGACAAAAAAATTAAACCAAATCGAACCAAACCACAATTGGACCTAGTTCCACTCATGAGTCTGGGACAAAGTTTTAGATCATGATCCCAGTTTGCCACTTTTTCTTGATTAAATATTCCAACTTTAGTTTTTCCACCGAAGTTGTCCAACACTTTTTCATGGGATTCGATTTCAACTTTCCTTTTTGAAAAGTAGCAAGTAGGTTTGATTTTCTAGAGACAAAGATAATATAAAATATTAAACACATATTAGAACTTAGTTTCGTTGGATTTTTCTTTTATTTAATGAGAATAACATTAGATTTTTAATTATGTAATTTAATAAAATATATTAGTCTCGCCAGAAAGTTGGACTTAACCTTGATTAGCATAGGAGTTATGTAAAATCATTTCGTCTATGAGCTTGATTTACTCATTTTGTTTCAAAATAACAATCATTTATTCAATTTTTGAGAGAAAAATATATTTTTTCTATTAAACTTTATGATCATTTTTAATTTTAAATATCTATCTTATCATAACAATCTCTTTATTTTTATTTTTTAAAGATAAAATAAGTAAAGATATAAATTACCTTTAAATATTTAATCATAAGATAAAAATAAAAAATATCTATTATTTTAAAACAAATACAAAAGGAATATATGAACATGCAGTTATCATAGAAGCAAATTATTGATTGAAGAATCTCAACATCACACCTCATACGATCGAAATGTTATTTTAAGGTTTAGATTAAAAAATAAAAAGCATTTTTGAAACAATATATCAACATTCCTCTGCATATGCCTTATTGATTAACATAACAGCATATCTATGACCTTGGATACCTTAAAATCAATGTTAAACCCAGTTGGAATAATTCACATCCTTTTTTGACCCACCGACAATGATTTCATTGAATGAGAGCACAAAAGGGTACTCCAACCCATACAATATACTGCTGTAAAACTTCATCGGGCCACTTCAAAGACATCATCACAGAAGTTCAAACAATAAAACAAAGAGACTACATCATCCAAGCTCCAGTTCACAACAATCAGTACACCCGCATACACCACTAATGCACATCCTACTTGCTAGTTTTTAGCATGAAACAAACGGGGATAATCATGATGTTTGATTCCTTACTTTTCTGTTGATTTTTCAGATAAATAACGAACAGAAATTATTTTCCTCAACCCCTGAAGATGTGGATGTAGCATAATAGGCAATTAACTGAAATGCCCTTGGGGACAAAGAATCTTATCCCATCAGGATCTTTACTTGTTCATGTTGTATTTTGAGCCACTTATATACTCACCATGCTCCTTCAAGTACTCAACGAATCATTTTAAGAATCCATCACTTCTTACTATTTCAGTGTCACAAACTGGGCAACAATTTCTTCTTGCTTGTGTTGCAGCCACATTCATATTCATCCATGGTCACTTAAAAACTCCACCTAAACATATTCAAAATGATACAATTTTATTTCCAATTTAGAGTTCTACCAAAGGAAAAAAGAGTTAGAACAGTAGCTTAGACTACCTCTTTGGCATGGTTTGACTAAAAAAGGGAAATAATAGTGGCTTCATTCTCTTGACCTTGGAAACCATCAGAAGTTGAGATTTTCACATTCTTTAGACTGTCCTTATTGCATCGCAACATCTTTAGTAAGACAACCTGAAAAATAACTGAAATTTAAAAGAGCAAACCATCCATGCATTGGTCAATTCTTGAAGGGAATGGAAGTAGAGCAAGGAAAGACAACTGACTAGCTAGAGCACAATATACTCTTTAGTACCTGCACAGAATATGGAGTAATGTAATAATTCCAATATCAGAAGCTTGGACTCGTCTCTTTGCAAGAGAAATATCAATCTCAACTTCACCTTCTTTTGATCTGTGCTGTCTTCTTGTCATACTTCTTTCATGCCACATCACATCTGAAGTAGATTAATCATGTACATTTAATAAATTTAAGAGCTGAAATAAGAAAAGCTTAATAAAATTTGATTACAGAATCAATATCAAGTTAGGAAGTATGGTCCTCATATTTCTGAAACTTCTGTGCTAGTTAAATTACATTCATGCTTGTTAAGGTGTGATAGTATATATGAATTAAAGTATGACTTGCATAAGATTCATAAGGTCCACATTTTGAACTTTATGTATAAAATACCACACTGATAAACATTATGTGATGCAACAAGCAGAACTCAGGCTCACTTAAGCACATCAATAGAAGGGACCTTTGTCTACCTCTGGTACCAATTAAAGCCAATATGCTAATAGCACATAAGGGAAAGTGCAAATATTGCACCTAAACCAGCAAAACTTTGAGAGCTCCCACCACTATTTATTTGAGTCCTTACCTTTGTGTGCTGGAAGAACTTCTCCTTTGGTGGATGAAACTCAAGAAAAGTTTTCCCCAGTAGCCGTGTCCACTTTGAAAACCAAACACAAAGTAAATTATAAGATACCTGAGTGATTCAATGTTCCATTTTGGTAGAATGAATCAGGGTCAGACTTGTATTATTGTCTATGACTCCTAAGGTCTACACTCAAAACTTTTCAAATAATAAAGAACTGAAAAGCCATTCCACCATTCTGTGTTACATTAAGCATAATTCAAGCTTGCTTAAATACATACAGTGCAAGAGAACTGCTTTCCATATTATGTACCAGTTAAAGCTAATATGAAGCAAAAAATTGATTGAAGAATTCTAGTAGATCCTACCTTTTGTTTTGGCCAACACAAATGTTGCCACATTCTCCACTTTTTCTACATGAAAGGGACATCTAAACCTTCTTCTGGGACCTCATCCTGTTCAATGTGCACAAGAAGTCAGCAACATAAGACTTCAGGAGAATCATACATAACTAGAAACAACAAAATCAATAATGAAAGGTGTAGTATCTGTTCCTATCAGTTTAACAACAAAATCAACAATGTAATAAGCCACAGTTTCTTTTACAAGTCTCAATTACCTTTAGCCCAAAAACCACAACTTGCCAAAGAGCAGGAGACTCCTAATAAGCTTTCTTTGGTTTTAACTTTTAATACAACTACATCAAGGGTGTCAAACTGCATTGAAAATTAATAAACATATATAACTTCAAAATCTATTTGACTACGGGAAAAGTGGTTTAGAAACAAGACAAAAGAAAAGGCATGCACCATCATTTGCATTGGATGGAGCAATTTAATAGTGATTGCTATGAGATATTTGATGCACGTTTCTTGTTAATTTCATTGAAAAAAAATGAAAAAAAAAAAAGATTAAGCCTGAGCGTACAAGTAATGGAAAATAGCAAGATGTAATGTGATTTAAAAAATCATAATGTCTGGAAAACGGCAGAATCAGAACTCATTTAATGTCTTTGGACCTTAGAAATGTAAAGAATAATCATATTCAACATGATACCGAACATGAGTAAGCAAAATTCAAAATATTGCACCAAAACCATAAAAAATGTAAGAGCTACCACCAATACTCATTTGTGTCCTACCTTGTCAGCTGGAAGAACATCACCTTTGCTGGATTGAACTAGAAGTTTTTTCACGAAAAGCCCTGTCTACTTTGAATGCCTAATGCTTAATAAATTATAAAATACCTGAGTGATTTTATATTTCATTTTGGTAAAAACAAAAAAGGAAAAAAAAAAAAGGAGGTGTTTATAGAAACTGACATGTGAAAATCATGCATACTTGAGCTGAATAATTATGCAGAATCCTTTTTATTTCAAATCCACGCATGATTCATATAATAAATATACGATCTGAACATCAACACACTTAAAAGTCAGAATACATAGTGAATTCCATGTTTGGAGCAGTATCCAAATCTCTTGAAGAGCCTGAGAAGATATACGTTGATTTCTCTACTTCCTTACACAATTAAATACAAAAAAATATTGGCAAATCCCATCAATTTCTTCTACCCATTGTCTGATTTTGCAGTTCAATAGTAAGCAATCACCAGGAAAGCATTACACTTAACAAAAATAAATAAAACAATATGTGCATTTTCATTAATGGTTTTTTCTTTTTGACCTTTTGGTATTGAATGACTGATAAGATGATTTACAGAGACACCCATTTTTGGAATGGTGATAATATTATATTAATCAAAACTTTAGACCAAATAGTAATCAAAAGTGAAATGAACTGTTGGAGAAAAAACCTCGTCCAAATTGATTAAAGGAGTCAGTGATGGTGGAGATGAAGTGTTACAGACGACTTCTTCTTGGTCTTGTGTCCCCCCATCACCATAGCCGCTTCTCTGCCAGTTAGAGAGAATGAAAGATTTAAACAACACACACATATATAAACATTGTTCTCGGAAAAAGGAAAACATGTATATAAAGAGAGAGAGTCCTCAACCTTCATGCCTTGGCTTGCAAAGTTTGTCTAAACCATTAGAAGCCAACATTTGCATCCTTTTCATCTGTAGTTCTGTACTGTTGAACAAGAAGCTATCACAAAACAAAAGAGAAGAGGAACAAGAGAATCAATAAATTGGTGATTTGATTGTTGTGGGTTGGAATTCTTGCTTTCTCTCCAGTTAATTCATCAAAGATTAGATTGAAAACACATTTATGTATGTACGTGGTACAACCAAGATATATAACAATACAGCAAAATACATAAGAGTACAGATGGTGTTCTAAACCAGTTTTCAACACAACTAATTCACACAGTATGAAAACACAAGAATCACACTAAAACAATCCACACAA